CCCCACCAAATGAAAATGAAAACAAACTGAAGGCCAGTTTGGGGGCCGTTGTTTATAAGCATGTTGTTGGTTACACGGATGTTGTTGTTTACACGGTTGTTGTTGTTTACATGGCTGTTGTTGTTTACAAACATGTTGTTTACACGGATGTTGTTGTTTACATGCATGTTGTTGTTTACCCACAAAGCAATGAGCCAACAGGGAACTGAGGCTCAGAGCGTCCCCCTCAGGAGAGGGAGGGAAGGAACATCCATCAGTCCATCCATCCATCCATCCATCCATCCATCCATCCATCCATCCATCCATCATCCACCTGTCATCCATCCATCCACCAGTCATCCATCCATCATCCACCTGTCATCCATCCATCCATCCATCCATCATCCACCTGTCATCCATCCATCCATCATCCACCTGTCATCCATCCATCCATCCATCATCCACCTGTCATCCATCATCCACCTGTCATCCATCCAACTGTCATTCACTCATCCATCCATCATCCACCTGTCATCCATCCATCCATCCATCCATCATCCACTTGTCATCCATCCATCAATCACCTGTCATCCATCCATCCATCCATCATACACCTGTCATCCATCCATTCATCCATCATCCACCTGTCATCCATCCAACTGTCATTCACTCATCCATCCATCATCCACCTGTCATCCATCCATCCATCCATCCATCATCCACCTGTCATTCATCCACCAGTCATTCATCCATCCATCCATCCATCCATCCATCCATCTATCCATCCATCCATCCACCCACCCACCCACCCACTTATCCATCCATCCATCATCCTGCTTTTTCAAAGCAGAACAATAAAAGCTCAGTTTATAAGGTTCATCAGTCTGTAGCAGCTCACTAAATGACCGGCCTCTTCAAAATGTGGTTTTATCCACCTGAACCCAGACAACTGTTGGGGCTGTTGCCTCCTCTCCTCCCTGTTCTCTCTGTTCTCTCTATTCTCTCCGTTCTCTCCGTTCTCTCTGTTCTCTCTGTTCTCTCTGTTCTCCCTGTTCGGGTAATCCAGGTTACGCAGATCTCCAGATTAAACGCCGCAAATCTCTTTATCCTCCACCTTCCCACAGACGTGTTCACTCACAGTTCACCGATTCTCACCAACAGGTGTTTAGTCTCTCCAGGTGGGAAGAGTCTGCAGCCTGTAGGAGCCTCGGTCGGATGTCCAGCTCCTCCCACATCCAAGTCGGCCATTTTGATTAGGTCATGTGACTAGCAGCTTTCTGAGGTGGAAACGAAACTTTACTGTTTATACGAAATCAGAAGGCAAACGATGCCCTAACACTGAAGCTAACCCCCTAAACCTAAACCTGACCATAATCCTGACCCTAAACCTAACCCCCTAAACCTAAACCTGACCCTAAACCTAACCCTGACCCTAACCTTAACCCTGACCGTGACTTTGACCCTAAACCTGACCCTAACCCTGATCCTAACCCTAACCCTAAACCTGACCCTAACCCTAACCCTGATCCTAACCCTAACCCTAAACCTGACCCTAACCCTAACCCTGACCCTAAACCTAACCCTAACCCTCCAGCCTTCATAATTGTGAGAAATACATATTTTTTGGGTTAAACTTGTTTGGGCTTATTGTACAAACCTATTTAACATCCACTATTTTAACTTAATATTATGGATAGAGTTTAATTCAGTGTTTGCATGATTCATTTCCATATTTTTAAATGAATGTCTATATTGCCATGAAGCAATTAGGATTTTATTGCCTGGGATCTTCCTATTGGTGAACTATTCAAAATGGCCGACTTGGATGTGGGGGAGTTGGATATCCATCCTTGGCGCCCGGCGTCGGTTTGCGGCTCTTTCCTGGTCGTGATGGTAATGGAGGGGGATTATTTGAGAGGAACTGTGTTCAAACGGTCACAGAGCGGCGGGTCAACAAGTCGCTCGGTTCCCTTGGCGCGTTGCCAGGGAAACCGCGATTATTAAAGCAAGCCGGTAAAGCCGTCAAACGGGGAGACGGGCGTTTAACCAGTCAGTCAGGCGGGAAGGAGGTCTGGAAATCCATTTTCTGAGCCGTTACACCTTCGTTTCTTCTATTAAAGCCTAAAACAAGGCAAGAAAAAAAGCCTTTTGACACCTTTTTAAGCCCCCAC